AGCAAAAGGTATCAAAAATGTTCTTTTTTATCTACTTGACACTTTGCTTTAGTGACATGAAAAGAACAAAAAGTATATCAGCATAAAAAAAAAAAAAAAAACTAAACACACTATTTTGTAAAGCATATAATTCTCTAACAAATAACATAAAACACACTGCCAAAACAATTTATTTTTTATGTAAAATTTTCACCTAAAAAAAAACTGCCAAAACAATTTATTTTTTATGTAAAATTTTCACCTAAAAAAAAATGCCTGGACTCATGGGTTAACCAATATTTATGTATTAGCACCAATCTTATAGAAGCTGCCAAACTCTGGCAACCATGCGTATAACAGTTCTTCAGGTAATCATATCTACAAGTTTTGAACAACCAATATTACCATTTCTGTATGTGCAGCTTTTTCTGTAATAGAAGTTATAAAAGCAAATCACAATATTTTTGGTCTTAACTGAATTTTTAAACATGCACATGGCTGCAAATGAAGAAAGTGAGGTAAACTTTTTTCAGAAATATAATATTTTTCCATAACGATGTGAATGATCAGATCTGCGTCTGATGACACTGTGTTTTGGAAAACAACTTTCTTGGAAATGCAATTTGTAAAAGCGTATTCAACATGTAGGTATTCAAACAAGAAACTGGTTCAAGAATAGTTCTCTACCTTGCAATAAAATAGTCAGATATTATATATATATAATATTATATAATATAATATACCGCTTATAATATTATATAATATATATTATATAATATTATATACCGCTGAAGTAAAAAATTAACCAATCATAAATTCTGCTTCGAAAGTTAGAAATGCTTGACTGATAAACTGAGATAGTGACAGACTGGAATAATTATATTCAAGAGATTGGCATTCTTGGTCTTTGAAGAAGTCAAAAAAAGATTGCTGGAAACAATCAAATCACTAAAACAGATAAAAGTCTATTTACGAAGTAAAAGCAGAATGCTGGACGTGTTTCTTTCTGAAATGGATTCTGGGAAGAATCCTCTAGAAAATGAAACTTTTTTAGTTACAGTTCCTTACAGAAATGCAGCTGCATCAATACAGAAAATAAACGGAAACATCAACGAAGTATCATCTATTCTCTTTGATAGTCCAGATATAAAACTCAAGAACTGGCAGAAGCTGAATTGATGCACAGAATGGTTAATAAATTTGTTGATCCCTGTACTGGTGTACATATGCAAAACATAGAAAGAATGTGGTGACCTGCAAAATGGCGCAACAAGAAGGACCCAGACATAACCTGAAATCGTATTTAGCAGAATTTATATGATGTCCAGAACAGGCCTCTAAAGGAAACAATTGTTTTGAATCTATTCTTAACATAAGTATTAAGAAATCTGCAGCAGAACAAAGCAACAAAAACCTATTTGTAAGTAGTTTTATTAACCATTTTTCTAAAACTATGTCCCTTATAACATGCATGTGTGAAATATATTTTTGCAATTTTAAGTTATCAACCAAAAAATTGCCAAACTATGCCAAGGTAATTGCACTAATACATAAGTGCTAAAGAAAGAGAGGTACTTTTCCCTTTTGCCGGCGCAAGTGATAAAGTCGCCAAAAATGATACAACCAATGCCAAACGGAATATCCTCGCTAGGAACCTATTACACCTCATTTTTAAAAACAAGTCACAGCTATTTCTTATCAGATTGATTGTTTCTTTCAATGCTGGCATACAATTACACAGCATTTTTAACAGATAGTTCAATTTTATGCCCTAAGACCATTCAAGGTAATAAAGTCAATTAGGATGCAATCACACTGCTCACCTAAAGGCAAAAATACCGAAAAGGCAAAGTCAAGGGTTAAATTCATCAGTTCTAATGGGAATGCACTAGCTAAGTAAAGCACTGCGTTTTACATAATTTCTGAATAAGCTGTTACTACGAATTGAAATAATTCTTGCATTTAAACTTGCATTCCAAATTAAGATTTAATTTGAAATTTATGTAGATAATTACTGAGAGAATTAGATTTTTGGAGTGTAGTTTACGTGAGATGGAATCACGTGATATGAAACGGCGAATCAGGATGTTTTACCATGAAAGCATAATAAATTCTTAAATTAATGTCTTTTTGCAAATTTATCGTCTTTTTACAAAACTTATTACTTTTCCGTTTCGCCGGCGCAAATCTCGCCAAGCAGACTTTATTGGCGACAACATACAGTATACACATAAAAAACACTAACAAATGTTAGTTCTAAGAATTTTGTATTTTGAAGGCATAAGCATTTTAATATTGTTTAAAATTTTGTGAAAAGCCATTAAATAAAGACAATAAATTTGTAAAAAGACATTAATTTAAGAATTTACTATGGTTTCACAGTTCAACATCCTGATTGGCCGGTTCATATCACGTGATTCCAAGTGATCTCATCTCACGTAAACTACACTACAAAAATCTAATTTTCTCAATAATTATCTACATTAATTTCAAGTTAAATCTTAATTTGGAATACAAGTTTAAATGCAAGAATTATTTCAATTCATAGGAATAGCTTACTCAGAAATTATGTAGAATCGCAGTGCTTTACTTTGCTAGTGCATTCTCATTAGAACTGATGACCCTTGACTTTGCCTTTCCTATATTTTTACCTTCAGGTGAGTGGTGTGATTGCATCCTAACTGATTTAATTCCTGCGAATGGCCTTACGGCATACAATTGAACTATCTGGTAAAAATTTTATGTAATTGTATGCCAGTATTGAAAGAAACAATCAATCTTATAATAAATGGCTACGACTTGTTTTGAAAATGAGGCATAAAAGGTTACCAACGTGGTGGCATCAGTTGTACCATTACTGGTAACTTTACCAACTGCGTCGGCAAAACGGAAAAGCACCCAAAATTTTACACAATATTAAAATGTTTATGCCTTTAAAATAAAAATTTCTTACAACTCACATCTGTTAACATTTTTTATGTGTGTATTGTGTGTTGTTGCCAATAAAGACTGCTTGGCAAGATTTGTGCCGGCGAAACGGAAAAGTACCGAAAGATAGTATTTTAATAACCATCCCATAAAACTAAAATGACTCAAAAGTGAAATGACCTATGCTCATGCCAGGAAGAAACATGCCCTAATACATAGTTTGCTGAATCCTGCATTCCTTTTGTTACTGCTATATGATTAATTTACTGATGGTTATCAAAAGTGAACGGCTGTCAAGTTTCACAAATTATAGCTTCCAATGATTCAACATAATGCTGATTTTGAATAAATACATGAGAAGTATGTGCCAATTCTTTGCTATCTCATCCAAAAGTTAAAATCAGTAGATGCAACAAAACAGTAAAAGCTGATGATAGCTTATTTCACACACAGAAATAATGTATGCCACTTTCCCTCTCCCCAAATTTATTTTTTTACGTGGATTGTCCTGAAGAACATTTCCTTGTTGCTGTTCCCAATTTTTTTACTCAAATATTAATGGCATAATAGAGCAAAAAGCCAGAGTAGATAAAAATCTCCCAATTTGTGAGCAGCCAGACATGAACATTTCACAGTAAATTATTTTGTTGATCTAAACCATGGATGTTGTACTATCTACAGAACACTTATGGAATGCAAAATAGCACTGCCTGTCAATATTTAAAATCTTATTTCATCAAATCACATGATGTCTCATGTATTCCAAAATAGAAATGTTCTCTATTATGTTATAAACTATTTTAATTTTATGGCAGTTTTTTTAGTAAAGTTTACTATTTATTAATTTTTTATTTTAATTTTGGATATTTTATTTAGTTGTATGAGATGCAATATATAAGTACCTTTTTTCTGCTTCTTGTTTTTTAGGCATAGGAAAAGAAGCCAACATGTTTCTGAACTAAAAATGCATGGCATGGCTTTAACAGATTATTCTCACTGATGAAAAAAAGAAATTCCTGGTCAAAATTATTTTAGAACAGAAGCTCATCATTACCAGAATTAAAATCCCAAAGTAATAAAATAATTTACGGATATTATGATAAAACTAGCCATAAATCCTCAGGGAATTGTTTTACAGAAGTAGTCTATAAACACACAAGATGTGCAACCAAATCCCCAATTCATTTTTATTCAGTATTAAAATACATACTTGATTCTGCCAATTACAAAACAAGAAATATGATTATACAGTTGGTGGGTAATGAATACAGGTAATTATTCTAAAGTATACAAAATGGTTAAGTATATTTCTTCCCTAGCTAGCAGTTTATATACCGAGAGGCTATTTTCAAAAACAGGTGCTTTTTATGAAACATGGTGTAATAAAATTTTGCTTAGGTTAGTGCTTGAAGTGCGTGGCTACTCTTCACATTTATTGTTAAATTTTCTATTTGGTTATTCTTTTGCTAATAAAATAAGTCAGTCATGAAATATGAAAAACTTTGCGGTTTCAAGTTCATTAATCAGTAGAATTTATAAAATTTTATCTTACTTCATTTTACACATGTGGAAGGAACGGGAATTTTACATATAAGATGCAAGATGTAACTTGCCGTTTTAAATATCATCTTTCATCTCTACCTACATTGTTCCTGCTCCTGTGTTCGAAAAGCCACACACAGATTATCTTGTGATAAAAATAAATATAAAATACTAATTCAATTATCAAATGTATCTGAAAAAATATATTACAATATTTAATTTAAAGTTACACATTACGCTAAAAAAAGCGGTTGGATTATATGCTTCCTTTTTCAACAAATATATGTGGCTGCAAAATTTATTAATTAAATTAAAAGCGTTTAATACTTATACTGCATATATTCATTACCAACATTTTGGAGGGAAAAAAACATTGACTACAGCTAATATGAAGCAATTAAGTGCATTTAAGAGATAAATTTCAAAATTTGATTAAAAAAATTTAATTTTTGTTTTATTGAAAATTTAGAAAAAACAGTATTTTTCATACTTAACTTTTGACATGCTTTTAAATCCTCAATTAAATATTCTTGAGAATTACACAGACTTACCATGTCATATATATTTAATATTACAGGTTCCTGGGCCATACTTCTCTTATTGTTTACAAATCGATGTTTCCCTCAATTAGGAAAAATAAATTCATTGTAAATTAGTTTTGCTACAGAATCATATTTTCAAGCAAGAAATTCGATTAACAAATTATAGAACTTGAGTGAAGTTTTAGCACTGCTATTACAAATAAAGCCATAAGATTAAATTATATGAAAAACTATAAAAAATCAAGAAAGGGTATTTAAAATTAACTACACAATGATTCAATACAAGTGCCTGACATCAATTGACGCTGTTGCCATACTGATCCATTTAAAATGAAATTTAGGTTTTAATCTATTTCAAGATAATATAAGTAAAAGAATAAATATGAAAATTAAAATTATGAATTGTTAGCATAATTTCTCTTAAACTTTTCTGAATGTAAATTAATTAGACCATTATTTAAAATCATTAAAAAAATAGTTGCGAAGAGCTATTCTAATTTCAAGCTGGCAACAAGCATGAAATGTCGGCCAGATTTACGACCTGAAGTGTGTGAGGAGTACGTACGTTTGGAAATGATGTTCTTTTAACTAGTTAAAATAAAAGTGTCAAATCTATTGCACTGGCTTTGCAATATATGAAAATATGCCCCCTACAATACAAACAGGTACAGCTGCTGCTGAACGAGATCGTAAACTAAGACCTGGAGATAAAAGGCTTGTATTAATTTTTATTATTGTGAAATCAGTTTCTGGTATGATTTCTGTAAAGTATTTATTATATGCAAAATTTTTAAAGCGAAAAAAAAAGATCCTTTTTTTTTTTTTAACTTAACAATTCTAATGTTGTTATTTTATTTATTCAGCTGTTCACACCTGTTTTTGTGTAAATTTAAAAATTAATTCTTCAAATGCTTGTAGAAGGTATTGAAAAAACTTTGCATTGAATTAAAGATGTAAAACTTAAGTAATAAATATCAGAAGAAATCATACATAGTATTCTTATACTTTTGAAAAATGCCACTGGCTTTTCTAAGATTGTTGTATACTGTAATGTCATTTTAATGCATATTCTAGTGTTTTTTTTATTTTATATGTATACAATGTACTTAAAGTATTTTGGGATGACAAGGGCAAAACATTTTTGTGATCTTTGGATTATGGTAATTTGGCGACCAACTCTGCTACAGCAACCCTCTATTTTTTTTTTTTTTTTCCGCTGCCATTTTGTCTTCATGAAGTAAAGACATGTTTCTTTTCTTTTTATTTACTCAACACTTTTTCCAACAATCTACTAGCCGAATTACACTTATGCTAGAAATTTTATCTAACAAAACTGCTTAATCATGACAAATATTCACTGTAAAATTGGGGAAAAGTGCACAATAGCAAACTCCTTGCGCGTTTTCCAGAATAACACATACACATACATATAAACCATGTACACGTCGACTTATTTTTACTTGAAAAAACATCCCAGAATTGCACAAAAATGGCATTGCGCACACTCTTCACTATATCCACTGCTTTTTTCTCATAAATTAGAAAAATTTCACGAAAATACATGACAATTTTCTGAATCTTTAAACCCGGTAAAAAGAACATATATGAAATTACCTGATCGTGAAAAAGTATATACCCTTTCCAAATATGAACATTTCCACGTATAAAATATCCAAAAACTTTTGCCTCTAAATTATCTATTATATTATAAACGTCACCAACGAATTCATATTGCAAACATTACAAATACTTAGTGTCAAATATTTAAATTATTTCCATGCACGTTTACTTCAACTTAAACGTATACCAAATTCCTACAAACATAAAATTCACAAAATAACTATCATTTAATTAAAATATCACTAAACCAATGACACGTCGACTTATTTTTACTTAAAAAAAATCCCAGAATTGCACAAAAATGGTATTGCGCACACTCTTCACAGTATTCATGTACACTGCTTTTTTCTCATAAATTAGAAAAATTTCGCGAAAATGCATGACAATTTTCTGAATCTTTAAACCCGGTAAAAAGAACATATATGAAATTACCTGATCGCGAAAAAGTATATACCCTTTCCAAAACTGAACATTTCCACGTATAAAATAAATAAAATATCCAAAAACTTTTACCTCTACATTATCTATTATATTACAAACGTCACCAACTAATTTCATACCGCAAACATTACAAATGGTTACAAATACTTAGTGTCAAATATTTAAATTATTTCCATGCACGTTTACTTCCACTCTAACGTATACCAAATTCTACAAACATATAATTCACAAAATAACTATCATTAAATTAAAATATAATTAAATTAAAAAACACTACTTAAAATATAAATAAGCACATACATTAAATTAATAAAAATTAGCTTACAATCCTAATTACTTTAAACTAAATCATTGCTAATAACAATTTTCCAATAATACCAAATTATATTGCGGTTTTGCAGCTGAAGATGATGGTTCGGTAAAACCATCGAAACTAGTCCTGTGAAAATTTTGTGAATTAACGCTGATTTTTGTTGTTTGACTTCTGAATCAGTATTTATTCGGTGTGTTATTGTGTCTTAATACCAAATTACTTTACTTCCACCTTACATTTAGAACAATGCAGAAAAATAATATCCTCAAATAATTAAAAATACTAACTTACCTAATCTTCTTCAGAATCTTGCTTACATGGTGGATACACTTTTATTATTGATTCAATAAAATTATTGAACGATTTTTTCTGCGAATTTTTCTTCCACACTTCCTCCGCTAAATAAGAAGCAAAATTCTCATTATCACAATGCCTCGGAATGGCGCTTTTTATAGCACTCCACGTGCTCTCTATTGTATTGGTATGTGCATCTGTTTCCGGATCTTTAAAATAATACTAGACAGCACCATACAATCTGAAAATTATTCAACACTACTTCACACAACACACAATGAAGCTTAATACAAAATAATATACTGCCACAGATATTTTTGCAAATTCCCCCCCCTTTTCCGATTAAAGAACTAGAATTTGCCCATTAATATCACATGACATATCTCATGATCTCTCATTTCCCTCACACAAAATAATGCGTAATCGGAACTGAGTACTGCTTACATTATTACCAAAGTCCTAGGTAGTAACATTTATCGCCTCCAAAATGTCGCCAAACTACCAGTTACCATATTCCAAAGATCAGCCACATTTTGTGTTTGTATTTTTTAAGGCACTTAATTTTTGTTTGTTTTCAAAAAAATTAAATTTAGTGAAAAGAAATTGTGAAATTGTTGTGTGGGTTTAGATTTTTGTAGTCTTATTGCACACATTCAGAATTATTTTCATTACAGATCTGATCTGGTATGCAGAGTGAAATACTGTAACACTCTTCCCGATATCCCATTTGATCCAAAATTCATCACCTATCCTTTTTTACCTAATAGGTAAGTTTAGAAAAAAATTTTAATATTGATTTATTTGTTAATGGTGTATAATGGTATAATTGTGAGAACATATGATGCTTGTTTTCCTTCATTATATTTTGATATATTAATATGTAACATATTCAATGGTGTTTAGAATTAACACTGAATAAATTGGGAAACTTTTGTTTTAATTTGTTTTGAGTGTTAGTATATGGAAGGTTAGCATATTGTCAAGAAGATGAACTAAAGTATTTGTAAACACACACACATATATATGTATGTAATGGAGAGGCCCATGAAGATGGTATAATAATATTAATTTTTTGGATTAATATGACTTACTAAGTTTTTAATAATATGCAAAAAAAAATGTGATGACCAGTATTTTTCAAAACACAGAGTTGTAAACTTTTTTAAGGCTTGTTTATTTGATTGTTCTTTTATATATTTTTATAATGTTATTATTATTTTTAATTTGTTTATTTGGTTTATTTTGTGTAGTAATTTTAGAATGCATTTTTCTTTAATCAAACAAATAGATACATATTGTATGTGTACATGTGTGGGTACATATTGTATTTCGTGTGTAATGTTGTAGATTTTGTAGAATCGATAATCATTTAAATTATGAAAATAGTTTAATTAAATGGCGATATGTTGGCAGAAGCTATCGTAATCATGTTGGAGACATTTGGTGCCAACGTGGCAGTATTCTGCAAATTTCCAGAAAATGTATCTGCTCGTAACTAAAATTTTCCACCAAAAAGCGTTTTTAATAATGTTAGGAAAAAACATGAAAGCAGTACTTTTAGTTTATGTAGTAATCACTATACCCAAATCTATGATTTTCTGTCAACGTTTCGGTAGTTTTTCAAAGCCTTCAGTGAAGAAACTTAGTGGCCGTGAATCCAAAAGCAAATCAACCTCATTTCAGACATCCTGCAGGGGTGTTTGTGCTCCGGGGATTTTGAACTTCGATACCCGGAAATTCTGGGGATCGTCGTTCAAAAGGAAGTAGGAATAATAATGAATTATTTATTTTGATCTGGGTAATTTTGTTTGCTTTGAAAGCAGAAAACGCAAGGTCAGTGTGTGTGGTGAAAACTTTTCCTTTCTTTCTCCAAAGGCAGTGATAATGCATGAAAAGGGGGAAAAAACTTCTTTTTTGTTCTTTCCTTATTGTGAGTTATGACTCATTCCCCCGGTTCTCGGACATTCTCTTCTGGATTCTTTTCGGCAAGTAGGCGCGGTAGAAAAAGGGAGAGACTTCGTTCGACCAGATGTGCGATCACGTGACTCTGGGTTCAAAGGTCTTATCTCTCCTGGCGTGGCGCCAATAAGTAGAGAAGGGGTGGGAAAAATATGGCTGAAAAAATCCAATGACTGATCCAATTTACAAAGATCTCTTACTGAACATGAACAGAAGTTGGAAAACATATCAAGAGGACTTAAAAATATGTATTTCAGATGAGTCACCAGCTGATCTTATATGGTAACTAGTAATCTTATATGGAATATGGTAACTGGTAGTTTGGCGACATTTTGGAGGCGATAAAGGTTACTACCTAGGACTTTGGTAATAATGTGAGAAGTACTCAGTTCCTATTACGCATTATTTTGTGTGAGGGAAATGAGAGATCATGAGATATGTCATGTGACATTAATGGACGAATTACAGTTCTTTAATCGGAAAAGGGGGGAATTTGGAAAACTGTAGTACTATATTATTTTGTATTAAGCTTCATTGTGTGTTGTGTGAAATAGTGGAAGTGTGCGTGCCACGTAATGAAGATTCTGAAGATTAGGTAAGTTAGTATTTTTAATCATTTGAGGATATTATTTTTATGCATTGTTCTAAATGTAAGGAGTAAATAAATTAATATGATATTATTGGAAAATTGTTATTAGCAATGATTTAGTTTAAAGTAATTAGGATTGTAATCTAATTTTTATTAATTTAATGTATGTGCTTATTTATATTTTAAGTAGTGTTTTTTTTAATTTAATTATATTTTAATTTAATGATCGTGATTTTGTGAGTTATATGTTTGTAGTATTTTGGAATACGTTTGAGTAGAATACGTTGAGTATTTTCATGCATTTTCGTGAAATTTTTCTAATTTATGAGAAAAAAAAGCAGTGTACATGGATATAGTGAAGAGTGTGCGCAATGCCATTTTTGTGCAATTCTGGGATGTTTTTTTAAGTAAAAATAAGTCGACGTGTACATGGTTTAGTGATATTTTAATTAAATGATAGTTATTTTGTGAATTTTATGTTTGTAGGAATTTGGTATACGTTTCAGTTGAAGTAAACGTGTATGGAAATAATTTAAATATTTGACACTAAATATTTGTAATCATTTGTAATGTTTGCAGTATGAATTCGTTGGTGACGTTTATAATATAATAGATAATTTAGAGGTAAAAGTTTTTGGATATTTTATACATGGAAATGTTCATGTTTTGAAAGGGTATATACATTTTCGCGATCAGGTAATTTCATATATGTTCTTTTTACCGGGTTTAAAGATTCAGAAAATTGTCATGTATTTTCGTGAAATTTTTCTAATTTATGAGAAAAAAGCAGTGTACATGGATATAGTGAAGAGTGTGCGCAGTGCCATTTTTGTGCAATTCTGGGATGTTTTTTCAAGTAAAAATAAGTCGACGTGTACATGGTTTATGTGTATGTGTTATTCTGGAAAACGTGCAAGGAGTTTGCTATTGTGCACTTTTTCCCAATTTTGCAGTGAATATTTGTCATGATTAAGCAGTTTTGTTAGATAAAATTTCTAGCATAAGTGTAATTTGGCTAGTAGATTGTTGGAAAAAGTGTTGAGTAAATAAAAAGAAAAGAAACATGTCTTTACTTCGTGAAGACAAAATGGTGGCGAAAAAAAAATAGAGGGTTGCTGTAGCAGAGTTGCTCGCCAAATTTTCGCCAAAAAATCGTTAAGTTACCATAATCCAAAGATCAACCAAGTCACCTATAAAAGTCTCTGAAAAACCTTCTACATTAGCAGAAAAGCAAACTGCTTCTACCTCTGCATGTGCAGTTCTCGAGGAAATTTCTTCAACTGTAAATGAGGAAAATAAAAGTCAACCTTCCTGCAATTATGAAGTTCACCACAAAAGAAAGACAAGCCCACAAATATCAGAAAATAAAAAAAAAGCAGCAGAAATTAGATAATTTTTTTTAAAAGACTTAATTCAGGTAATTTAAAATATTTACATAAAATGTAGTAGTTTATATGTTTGAAAATTTATGGTTATTAATTTTGCAAAAAAAGTAATTCATTGAACCTTTTGTAATTAGGTCATTCAATACTTCATAATTGTAATTTTTCATTTCTCTCCCCCCCTTCTCGAAACTCCAAAATGTCAGTAGTAAGTCCGTAAAAGTTTCAGGGGATTTTTTGGGGTCCCACAAACACCCCTGATCCTGTGCAGAATGGAAGCTAGCACTAGTAAGATGTAGCTGCAGATGTAAAAAAAGTGTAGAAGACTGAAAGAGCAATGGCAGGGGCTTTATGGTGGGTGTGGCAAAAGATCCCATTCGAGTCAATACGGAGTGCAGCTGGTAAATGTAGACACATGTGGTGTTGCATTATCTTGATTGAACATTACCTTTTTGAACCGGAACTCAGTTTCATGTTTTTCCTTGATAACAGCATCAACACGAATTAGCATCTCACTGTGCACCATACTGTCGAGAGTTTGACCTTTTCCCAGGTACTCTTTATGGGTAATACCACGGCAATCCCAACAGAAACATAGCATGATCTTTTTGTTAGTCAAATTGCACTTTGGGAAGCTGTCGACGAGGTCACCGGGTGCAGACCAACCCCTTTTCGGCCTTTGTTGTTGCAGTAAATCCAGTTTCCTTCACAAGTAACAATTTTGTCTAGAATTTTGTCATTTCGTTGATATTTGAGCAGATTAGTTCAGTCCTGAACACATCTGTCCTTATTGGCTGAAGTCAGCTCATGCGGCACCCAGGGATTGAACTGGTACGTCAAGTTTATGTGCTGCATAGAACAACTAATGGACATGGCACTAATATCTAACTCCTTAGCAAGCTCTCAAGTGCTTTCATACTGATATTCTTCCACAAGTTCTTGCAGGCGTGCCTCACCAGCATCAGTGTGCTGGCCAGAGCGCTCTGTCTTGAATGTCATAGACCTTGTTTTTTTAACTTTGGGGGGAAAACTCGGAAAGTGGCACTTGGCAAAATTTTTTCTGCCATCTTGAATCGCGAAAAATCACCATATCCTCGGGAGGAATATTTTGACACCAAGAGGGAAATGCCATCCAATGGCGCTTTTCGAAAATTCCCTCTTCAGCTCAATATTTAAGGAAAAGCTCTGCTGGGCAAAAATTGCATAAGGCAAAGTGTAGCATTTGCATGGAGATGGTAAACCATACACATAGAAAGATTGTAAACGATTACTTATTGTTGTGATTAAGTAAATCTACGTATCTTTTATCAGCTTAGTATTTTATATTATGATTATATATAACTCCAGCATTATTAACTTTTATACTTTTCTTTTTTAAGTCTTACCATTAATTTGAACAATTATCCATAATAATGGTTATGTAAGTTTGAAAAATATGGTCTTTATATAAATCCAGTTAATGATCACGAAAATGCGATATATATCACACAGTTAATGATGGAAGTTTAAAAAAATAAAATATGCATGTATTTCTACAATAATTTGCCTCCTCAAAATTTATTCCAGGCTATTCAATCATCTAGACATGTTTATAGTTTACATTCTGTATTCCTTAATGCACATAATTTTGATTAATAAGGTTCTTTTTATTCTTTTTTTCTTGTTTAAGTGTGAAAATAGTTTTCATATAGGTTACCAAAGAAATGTAATCCTGAAAATGCATTACTGCAGGAAAACAATATTTGTAACAAGTGCTTCTGTGGCTTTTCACGATGTTATGCAATTGTTTAAATTTCAGAAAGAGACCAATCAAATAGAATAGCATAAGGTTATTTGAATTTGTATTTATTCCATGAAAAGGTAAATCCTAAAATATTATTTTTTTGCAATTTGAACATTGTCCGGAACATTGCAGTTTCAAACTGGTAGCCCCCAAAGCAATTTATGTGGTCGGTGAATATATTTCAGTTTATGCATTTGTTGCAAATACAGTGATGCAAAGATTTCTATGTTTTACTTATTTGAAGTTTCAGTTTATTTTACATTTATTACTATTAAGCATGAACATGAGTAACACGTCAGAAAAATCTATAAATATTAATCTTATTCAACAATTTGAAGATACAAATTTAATTAACTTTTATTAATTTTTTTGAAAAAATAAAGAAATGCTATGTTTTGGCTAATGGTTTAGATTTTTACTGATATACCCAACTTTTAATCCACAAAATCCTCTACATAAAGAAAACAGTGAAATATGCTTGACCTATAAAAACAGTTAGAACCCAATATTTTTAACGCCTAGAGTAATTTTTCCCTAAAAGGAACCATGTTTGTATAGTTATATTCAAGGTCTCTCCTCAAAATTGTTTTCATATCACCCACTTCAAGAATGAATTCAAATATCACCTTTGCAAATAATAAATTTAGCTTTTTGGGAAACAAGCTTCTAATGATGGAAGTTGTAGAAATGTATATAACTCCTGAAAAGAAGGTACCTCTTATTCATGTTCTGCTGCTGGCTGGTTGTGAGGTGAAATGACCTTAAGATACTCTTAACTGAAAATAACATCTGTACTTTCCTAAGTTTCGTATGAAAGGAATGTATCAAATTAGAGTCTGATCTCGCATGAAATTATGCTGTGTCTTAAAATGCCAGACACACAAGTAGAGCTAATGAAGGAAGAACTCAGAAAAATGAAGATCTTAATGAATAGGTTAAAAGTTAAAAAAGAGAAAAGCTTTGCTTTCTCCACAGAGCTACCATGTCGCAAGGAGAGTTGATGGATATTCACCATCAAATATTTACAGCAACTGAACATCGAGATTATAATTTTTAATGCAGATAAGAAACATCCAATATTTTAGAAGTCAACGTTTAGGCATGAGCAATTAGACTGCTTTAATACCCTGGGTGTTTGAAATAGGTTGGTAGATATTTTACATGTATAAACCTAAAAAAAAGAAGGTTTGATGCCTATTATGCCTAAAATATCATCTGGCCTGTTTCCTTGACTGAGAACATTATCTGAAGAGGTGAAAGAGGTGAGCTAACATCAAAGAATGCTAAATCCATGAAAAAGATGTGAAGAAAACCTATGATTACTCAAGAGCAAGATCTCAATTCCCAAGATGCAGGAAAATTACTCAAGCTTCATTGCCTGATAAAAGATGAGCTTCTCTCCATTTTGACTGATAGCGATATAAACCAACTTATAAAGAAAATAATTAAACTTTCAGAAAAATGTAAGGTCTTCTGAACACTAATTAAGCCTAAAATGGGGATTTCAATTGTTAAACTTTTTTTAAAAATGTAAAAAGTAACTGAACTATAAAATTATTGATGTTAATTTTTACAGGCAAGTTAAGAATACAGGTCATCATCATAGGTACTGGATGGCAGCAGCTTAAAAATTATTATTTTTCGTCATTATTTTGATGAATTAAATCCCATTATTTCTTGTCATTGTCAAAGGCCATAAAGCATAAGCTGAAAGTACTAAAGAGCTAGTTGAGGAAATCAGTTCAAAATTGTGTATTTATGTTAGAGATTATTTCTTTAAAGTTTTGCTCTGAATGATATCAGTGATTTGCAGTATTTCTCATGTGTTAATGAGGTAGCTGTTTACTTTGCTCTGAGCTGTTTATTTATTTCAATAAAGTGTCCATATCTTCCTGCTTGCCTGACGTAGTTATTAAAAAGATTTTCACCAATCCATATACAGCAGTAGTTTTTAAACTATGGGTTGTGACCCAATAGGGTTACGTAAACTTATACTGGGGTTGTAAGATGGATAAAAATACTAAAAAATCTAAATTGATTGTACATAAGCAAAGGTCGATACACTGATTGAGGTCACAAAATTGTCATTCACATTTATAAAAATGCAAAGATTGTACGACCATAAAGTTTTTGAATACCACTGCCAGAGAGCATAACAATTGATTTATACTGGCTTTCAAAAGTTAATCACATGATAGTAAGATCAACAAAAATGATAAAGTAAAACAGCAAATTTTTTAGAACCGTCTTTGAAGATGTGCAGCTGGCTGTGAAATCCCACTAAAATTCCACCCACACTTTAATGCTGCCACCCCTGAATGCATAACCTTGATGATGTTCTTGTCCTGATTCCATATGCCTTGTTCTCTTCAAATTCTTACATGCTTATCATTCTTGGGTAAATCTGGACACATCTGTGAACAGGACATTTCACCAATATGAGATAATCCAATTGAGAGGTTGACAATACAACTTCAATCTCTCCTGTCTGGATTGGGCAGATAGTGGAATACAAAAGCTTGGTACTGTTGCATATGGCCCCTCCATGTGAAGCCTTCAGCATACAGTACCGACAAATATTGTTTTACCAAGTGATACTGCAACCATGGATGTAAAAGTTGTGGAGATCACTTGTTATTTCTACTTGACAGTTATAGTAAAAGATCATCGCCTTAGACTGTATCCCTTGGTTCACAGGCCCAAGTCTCCGGACAACTGTTTGAGTTATTTGGAATTATTTTCACATTCGAGAAAATATCAGATGACCAGTGTAAAAGGAAAAAGAACATCTTTAATTGAATGGCCTGTTTCAATGCATCCGACAGCTTGCTAGCACTTACTATCTTCTATTCCTCTTCTTTCAGCCATAGAAACATAAATATGATAAAAAATTATCCTGCAAAAGTCATAAACACTTTGTATTTGCATTTAAATGAAATTTTTCTAATCTTTCTGAATGTTGATTACTTCATTGACTGCCTAATTAGCATATGCTAAGACAATCAATATGTGATTGGCTATAACATATGTTATTTGGTATTTCAATATTGAAGCTGCAACTGCATATGCTTTGGCAAATATTAGAAAAACGCTATGGCAAAGTTCAAAAAATGTAAAACATCAATATGAGAACATAATAAATCAAATTTATTTAACAATTAATATTTATGAATCTATAACCTGAAATAATATATAATTTACCTTTGGAGAGATAGCATTTATTTAATTTGTGGAGGCCATAATTCAGCAATTGCTGCTGTAAGTAATCAAATGTATTCCTTCATGTTACATACTGCCATGACAAAACTTGTCAAACCAAAGTCAAGGGTTAAATTAATCAATTCTAATGAGAATGTACGAGCGAAGTAAATTATGTGCATACTGTATGTTGTTGCCAATAAAGTCTGCTTGGCGAGATTTGCGCTGGCGAAACGGAAAAGTGCCTTTTTGCCTTGTGTTGTTTTCTCATTGGATATCGTAGGACATTACTCTGTGTAAAAATTTTGAACTAAATGTATGAAATTAATTATGCTTTAATTTTTTTTTCTGCAGAATCCTATCGTGAAATGATAGAATTGCATTAGTAAAATATCCTAATTATGCAGTTTATTTCAGTTGCCTTTTTGTCAGACAGTTTTGATTGGGAAACAAAAATTGAATCTAAAATGTAACTTTTTTTGTTAAAATTTCTTTTTTATGCTTAAAATGTATTTTGAATTTGATTCAGTTTGAATGTAGAAAACAATAATGATGCTATATTGGGAAAATTTTGGCAATTTATGTCAACATAAATTGTTGATTAGTGATGTTCTAAGGTTTATTAAATTCTATTGTGTTATTCCTAGTTATTTAAAGCTAAATAGGTTATATAGCAAAAAACAAAGGTATTTGTTGTTGAATATTTATTTTACATGAAATGAGAATGATTTTTCATCAAGTTGATATGTATAGCAAGAAAATTTCTTTTTCAGTTATTATTATTATCATTATTTTTTATGTCTTTTACTGAACTATGTCTTTTTAGCTATTATTGTCTGTTGGGCAGCCAAATAAAGTCTTGAAACAAGGAAAAGGTTAACTTCTTAAGTAGAATTATTGTCAGCAGCATCATTAATATCAAGGCAGTTGTACAGGTGGATCACCAGTCAAATCCACCAAGCTATGTAATAGATACATTGGTGAATTTTCCCCCAATGTCCCACCATCATACAAGTCTGGATGGAGATGTTTTTGCAGATAATCATGATCAGTTCTCTTTTCAAGTATAAAGAGTTTAATCTATAGTTAATTGCATTTTGAAGTACTATAAAATTATTCTGGGTCATAAAACAAAATATTGCCCTTATCTGACTAAACATTATCATAAAATCTTTTCTGAAGTCATGCCAAATGATTCCATCTGTTGACAGCATCTACATTTGAACTGAACTATTTAACATTCTAAATAGTTATGTCTCATTTTGAGTCCATGTAATGTGTTATTTGGCCAAATTAAATCTTTTTCTGTATAATGTAATCTTTTATAAAATCCGTTTTAATTTCTAATAATGTACATTTTTAGCTTTAAAGTAATGTGAATTTTTAGCTTTAAAGATGTTTTATATATATATTTTACAGATTTGTGGATTATAAGCCAACATCCTTAGAAAGGAATTACAAACATGATCTTTTGACTGAACATGATCTTGGAGTTACTATTGATCTTATAAACCCTGACACATATGCTATTGATAAAACAACAGGTAGTTTGATCTTTTCTGTCAATTTTATTTATATAGCTCTGCCAACATTAAATTTGATAGGTCTCAAAGCAGTTGCAAAATGTCTAGAGGAACTGGAAAACTCAAAAACCAATATAATATATTGAATATATTCTCTCATTCACTGACATATATTTTTCTTAAATTTAGCATTATCTTCAAATCGGGTTTAATTTTTTTATTATTGTAAAGTATATTTTGCACAACTTTGTAAGTTGCAAGTGCAGTTCTTGTATTTTATAACTTATAATTGCAGAGTGTAGTATAAAGTTTAAAATTATTCCATATTGAATATTTATTATAGACCATAATAATTAATAAAAGTTTTAGCATATGCATCTGGATAATACAATGTTTAAAACAATTTTTATTTGCTGAAAATAATAAGAAAAGTATTCTCTTTCCAAATTAAAAAAAATAATAAAATACAAAGTATTTGTGATTTTAATTGTTTATTATTTGTAGAGTTATTAAGTTTATCGATGCAGGAGATATAAAAAATCTGGAATGCCCTATCTGAGAATCAAACTCCAAACTTCTCGATTATGCGTCGGATGTGCTTCCAGTTACACCACAAAAGATGCGGAAAGGATGAGAAAAATGCCTTATATATTTATTATGACGCTAAATTTTTAGAAAGTCTTTGTCATTAAATCTTTATGAAATATGAATGAATGTCACTTTTTTAATACATTATCTATTAAACTGCAACTATCATTAAATCAATAGCTAGTAACTCTATGTGAATTACAGAATATAAAGTAATATTGAAAGGGAAAAATTCATCAATTATTAATCTACATTCATTGCTTGTAACATTCTCATTTTTGTTTCAAGGATACCATTTTACTGTAGTTATCAAAATAAAGCAATAACTGTAATAAAGGCAGAAATTTAAAATATATATGTTCATTTACATTCCTTTTTAAATGTGTTTCATAAAGTAGATTAATATATATTGCACACTTTTTTCATATTTATTTCTCTAAGCAGCATCAAAATTTAAGATTTCTTATTTACATGTATACTGTGTTTTAAAGTAATAAAATTTATTGTTAGCACATGTATTGGTTTCTCTTAAGTGTGACTAATTTTCTTCAATGTTTCTTGTGGGTCAGATTTGAAAATATTTTCCTGATATACAGATTTCAGTAAATAGCTAACTACTGTTGTTGAAAATAAGGCCAATTTCTTAAACTGCTTTGTGTTCTACTCATATATATAATGCTAAGCAGGATATCAATGATTTTAATCATTGGGTTTTCTCTGTTTTAATAATGGGGGAAATGTGTCAAAATCAAACCTTAAATAATCTATAATGCTTTTAAAAATCTTTTAATCACTGAATACAAAAAGTGAAAGCTTCTTAAAGAAGTAAAATTGTTTGAAATATCTAAACAAGCCATGTTAGTACAATGCAAGAAAATATCAGTTCCATGTCCATCTAGTCTCAAGCATAAATTTGGTCATGAGTGAACTAATAGGTATTTTTATGCTACAAATGCTTATTTTGTATTGTAGAAAAAATCCCATTTCATAAACTTGATGGAAATGATGCATTCTTGTAGAAAGGGGGAATAAAGTCACTCTTTCTAAGGGTGACTTTAATGGTATATTATTAAATGATACATTTGAAGAACAAATAAAGAAATGTAGTGATGTTTTAGTTAGCCAAATGATATATATGCTGCTAGGTGATTTGTCTCATATCTACAGTGAAGTATAATCTGAATATGTTTGTACAATAAATGGACTGTACATTTAGTGGAAGTTGTTAATACTTCACTAGTGTCGTATACAAATAAAAATTTATTTTTTCTTACTGTTGATGCTGTTAAAAATGTTGGGAGCAAATTTAAATGTAAAATTTGTAATTCTGTATTTTGTAATGCAGCAAGTATAGTAAAAATTAGAAAACAGTTTTTAGCTTGTATCTTACGCTTGTTCAGCACCTGTACTTAATTAATTAGACAAAGATTTAAATCTATCAAATGTTACTGAGATGCAAGTCATAAAATATTTTTAATATCACTAACTTGTGTGAGCCAAATTGTGTATTGGTTTATATATACTATCTAAAATACGTTGGAACTCGGTATGCAATTTCCTTGAAAGCTATAAAAAGAGCAAACCAAAGTTCATATAAATTAGGGAAGATAATTAAGATGCAATAGATAAGACTCCTCAATCAAAAGTTCTTAATATAGCAGTTAAACAAAATGTAGATCTTTTATTTCATATGAAGCCAGCTTCGGTCACTTTGGATAAAATGCAAAAAGTTAATTACTAAATTTACTGAAGTTTTGAAAGATTTTGAAAACAACTTTAAATAGCTTGATAAAACATGCATCAAATTATTTAAAACATGATATAAACAAGCACTGCCATCATTAGCCTACATTTTTAGCATATACAGTCAAAAGTCGTTAATCCGGACTCGTCGGGACTTCGGCGATTCCGGCTTATAGATCATCAGATTAAATCTGGTAAGATGACATGCAGAAATTATAAAATTAAAAATATGAAACCATAATTTATGAAATAAAGAACAATTATGATCTAAAGGGTATCAAAATTTACAAAAAAAAAAGCTAAATATTTATTTGTTTACTTTATTAAACATTTCTTTCAATGGAAGTTGTTTGCGTTGCTTCGTTTTTTATGTGATAATACATTCTCTTTAATTCTATAAACAGACATAATTTCTTGTTCAGTTACAAATTTCCGCTGTTCAAGTCCTATAATTGCTGTGTCGAGAATACCGACTAATTTGTCAATCGATATTTTTTCGTTTTCAAAAACCTCTGTTACTTTCTTCGCTATCGGAAGCGAATTATAATGACGAGGAATTTGATTTAAATCATATCAAAGATGGAGTACATCGAGATGAAATACTACATTTAGTAAGGAATTATAAGCCAAATAAAATAAAAACATCTGCCCTGAAGATAAGGATAGTGCTGACAGATCAACTTCCAAATTCATTGCGCGGCGTTAAAGATAAACAAACGCTAAAGTTTAGATAAACAAAGGATATGCCTTTATCCATCTTTCGAAGCAATTCCACTTTTTGTTTAATAGACTTTCGCTTTGTAGATCCTTTACATATTAGTAAATATATATCAGAAATTCTATTTGACATAATCGAAAGTTCAAGCTTACTTTTATAAAATTGCTCTAACAGTCTGCAAAAAGTAATAAGCCGAATCCAATTCGAAGATTAAGGAACAACGCAATCTGCAACATTAACTGAATTAGATAATTTTAGCTTAGCTTAGACCGTCCGTTATAAACTAAACGCGCATTCGTAAACATATTTTGTGCACACGCATATACACAGCCGTAAAAGTCTTACGCGCATGCGCAGAAAGTTTGTAGCTTTGAGGTCCGGATTAATGGTGTCTGAATTAACGACTTTTGACTGTATTACCAAAATATATAACCTTATTACCTTTTACTTAAACCGTATTACTTTGCATTTAAAAGTGCTTATCAGCAGCTGAAAAGCGAACAGGCATTGGAATAAGAGAAAAATGTACAAAAACTGCTTTGTTCAGTATTATATTAAAATTTATAATTCAGATTTCATCTTCTTGTGGAATTGTTTTGGAAAATGAAGCAGCCGCATTTTCATCCCATTGCCATGTCTCCTGGTAGATCGCCAGATCTCCTGGTTTTTAATTTTTAGCCTTATAAAGGAAAATGTTTCACAGCAATAAATGAACGTTATTGAACTAATGACACTTAAATTAGGCATTTTCTATTCTCCCGCTTATAATGATTTTCAGAATAATTTTCCTTTAATATTACATATATATGTTTTACACACAAATTTTACGTTAATTATATTATGCTAAATATTTATAGTACATTAATTATTAATTTTATTTTCATTGTATTTAAAAGTACTTTGATAAATAAAAGTTTTCCTAAACTACTTGGAATTTTCTCAGCGTAAAAGTGTATGAAAATTTTAAAATGAAATTAGCCAAAGAACATAAAATTTAGAATATCTGATTAAATACTAATATACTTTAAATCAGAATTGTATTGCAAATAGTTGAATAATATGAATTATGTATTATAACTGAATTAAAGTCAGTTTGGAGTTCCTTTGGAATGGTATTGCCACACTACATGAAACCCTCCCAGTTTTTCTTGGATTTCTCAAAGTCTTCCATAAGATTTCAAGGTTGTAGCTGTGTGGGTACCAATCAAATCTTAAGCACAGCAAGATCCTGAGTAGGAACTGAAAGAATGTTTCTTGTTTTTGGAATTTCACATATATATAATTTATCATTAGAAAACTTTTTAATACCAATGCCAGTTTATATTGATCCGCTTTGTAATTTTTATAATTTTAATAATAATTATAATTTTTATAATTTTTGCATTTTATGTTTTAATTATTGTTTTAATTTTGTTTTAACTTGTTCTGTCGATCAGTTTTTTATATGTGTTAACTTTTCACATATCACAACGATAGGTTTTGCTCTTTTTTTTGTGCATTCACATGTTTATAACAATAGATTTTAACAGTTTTATGTTCTATATTTTATTTCGCGTGTAAGCTGTTTTTTCACCTTTCCATGTTAATATTTTAACAATTACTTCCATGTTAATATTTTAAAAAATACTGCGTTGAACTATTTCTTGGAGCCACAGCTCCTGGTAACTTTTTAGCGAGCTCACTACAATATTTCTTCCTATTATTATATATATATATATATATATATATATATATAATAAATATATAATAATATTTTATCCTTTTTTCTGTTAGTATATATGCATACATAAGTTTATATTTAAGTAGTTAAAGTGATTTTGCTAGTTACAGAGGCTAACAAACTCGTAATTTACATTATCTCTCATTATTTTGTTAATTTATGCATAAAAATATGCTTGGCATTTCTTAGTATGATTGAATTAGAAGTTTAATTACTAATTAAAACTCTGAATACTATCAATGCATGGAAAATACTCTAATATACCCAATACTCTAATATTGGGTGAAAAATGAAAATATGTGACTTAAATTTTTAAAATAGAATTCAAACAGATTTAATTTTTTTACCCCCCCCCCGGCATACACACTGATGCTACATGTATGTCAGCTGGGAAATTTAATTGATATAAAAATACTGCTGTCTTCTTCATAAAGTTTTATACTACAAACAACTTCTGATTACCTAAGTAATGTAAGGTGGCGCGCTGAGAAACCAGATCTTTTGCATGTACCAGATAGATGCTAACTTACTTCTCTTGCTTCATTGCTATTACTGTTGTAAACTCTTCTCATTTTCTGTGCAAAAGGCATGAAGACATATAAAGGAGATACACAAGAGATATTCTCTTCAGCAAATAATCACAAAGGGAGAGGCTCATGTGTGCAGTGTAGTCAGTTTTTCATGCACCATTCTGTACCATCACAATGTTACCAGTTAACTCAAAATCACTAATCAAAAAACAGTTAAAAAATGCAAGAAACCGTTTTATAATCATTTATTTGACAATTTATTTTACATGTGTTTTCAAATAGTTTGATCTGGAGAATATGTTCATTGGTTTCATAAATTAAATTAGTATTTAAAATAAAAGAACACTGTAAATAACAAAAGAATAAGAATCGTCATGAACAAAGAAACTAAGTTATAAATGACATAAAAGATTAATCTGCAGTTTTTACAAAAGAATTTGAATTAAGGTCAAATACATAAAAAAGTGCATAAGAACCTTTTGAATTGGACAGTATGTACATAAGATAAAAAATCTGATGTGTACACCACACGACTTCCTTGTATGGAGTATTAAATTATACGCATTTTTTCTTGCATATTGTTTAAACTTATTGGATTGAACTAAATCTACTTCGCCGACAGCGCATAAACCAAAATAGAATAAATGCATTCTTTAAAATTCACTCTATTTGTTTACCATAGCGACACTCTGGCGCTAGGTTCACTTAACAGTATTATATTTCGTTCATATTATAACTCAGAATGCACAAAATTTATATCATTTAAAGAATAGAATTATCTAATCGTTGCCACATGTTGTATTCAAATACTATAATAAAGCTAGAATGATGTATAAAAGAAATTAAGTAAACAAAACAAAAAAGAAACAGTTTTTCCCAGACGATTGAGTATTTCTCATTCAATTAATTCAGTTCTCACTTCGCGACAAGGCAAAAATACATAAAAACTCAAAATATCTGTATTAAAAATTACGAAGTAAATCTTAAGCACTTCATTTCCTCGAAAAAATTCCAGAAAGAATTAAGCATGATTTAATTGGCAATAATAAATAACGGTGTTATTTTTGTTGTTGCGAAGCTACGTTTCTCTAGATTGGCAACAAATCCACTATGCTGTTTCAAATGTAAACATCAATGGCCGCCATTAAAGAAAAGGCTTAGCGGCAATTAAACAACTTTAAAATTGCTGATAATTCTAAAAATATCGCACACAGATTTACTAAAGCCATAAAATCCTTAACCGGAAGATAAAAACAACATAATTCAATCATTTTTAAGGCAAAAAATGTACATTTTACAAACATATAAGAGTAAAGAAACTGCACTGAGCTGGGTAACAGAGTGGATATATATATAAATATATTTATATACGTTTGGCGTGGCTGATTGGAACCAAAATACGAGGTGCACATCTACATGTTTTAGTAGTCCTATATACAAAATTTCAACGTTCTGAGACTACTCTTTTTTTGAGTTATGCGCGACAAGTACGTACGTACATACGTTCGTACAGACGCAACGAAAAATTCTCTTCAGAATTCATTTTAAAGCAGTTTTATAATTTTTTGGAGGAAAAGAGTCTTTTATTCTGTCCTTACGTACAGATATCACACAAAAACATCATTAAATTGCATTCGAAAGCGGTCAAAATGGTTATTTTCGTTGAAATATGCTGCCTGAAATTTTTCGCGATTACAATACTTTCTTTTTTACTTCGTACAAGGAAGTAAAAAATATATAAATCAAAATTCTAACTTTAATTTGCAATAGTATCTAAGCTTCATTTGAATTTAGTTATATCTCCTTTCTGTTCTAAAAATAAAAACTGCTTATAATAAACCTCTCTAAACTGCATCTTATCAAAATTAATTGCTGTTACATGATTCTTATATAACATCATTGATGCAACCACTTATATTATGCTTCAGCCAATAATGATTTCAAATTTGGGAACTGAAGCAAAAATTAATTATTAGGGCTAAAGCTCAACTGAAATCATTCTGAATCAAACTTTCATCTTGGACTGGACATATCGCATTCCCTCTCTCACTTCTGTCTTGGTAGCCTGTTTGCTTTAAATTTCTGCACTTTCCTTTGAAATTAATTGTTATGAAACTGTAGAAAAGGCACAAATGCAATAAAAAAAAAGGCACACAGTTTGTGCACATTATAGTATGAATTTAATAATAGCCTCTTAATTCCTCATTTTTAATCTAAGTATTTCCTCTTTATTCCAAAAAAAATTAATAACATTTCTAGACTGTGTCGTTTCTAGATAAATCTATGCCAGAGCTTACGTAACGCTTAATGGTGTAGTTGATTCGGAACCTTAACTCTGAGAACTGCAACTTTTCTAACCTAAACCTTCCTTTTGGTGATCTTCTATATTGGATTAATGCGCACTTCACTTGTATCTCTTACTGCTTGGATGTCACTTTCGCTTCCTTTTGCAATAGTATTAAAAAATGTAAATGTTCTGTAAATAGGCACAGTTAGAGTGCCAAATTAATTGTGGCCACAAATGTGAATTTAAATAAAAATGGAATTTAATTTGCCAAGTTTTCTATTCATTATGGATTAGCATTCTATGCAGTCGGAATTCTTCCTCTTCAATATGGAGTATGTGCAACAGAAAATTTTTATTTGTGCTTCTGCTTTCTCTAATAGCATTTCGTCAGTTGAAAACTCAAAACCATTTATCTTCATGTGAATTGAACTCGCGTTTATATTACATATATATATTCTACATTATAATACAATTATGCACTGTTATGGATAAAAATAACTCACAAATACTGTGGCATCATATGCTATAACTGCTATTTTTCCATATACTTTTCTTTTCGTGTTTTGTATTTTTTTAGACGGTTTTATTTATTTATTTTATTTATTATTATTATTATTATTATTATTATTATTATTTTGGCAATACGTAGTACATATTCTATCTTTTCATACTGTGTAAACTTAATTTTTATGTGTTGACAGGCACTTGTTTATCTGCAACTCAATCAGGTATTGATGATATAAATTGCTGTCTTACATTTGTAAAGTGTTAGTTATTGCTTTTTTTAACTAAAATACATTGTTATATTTTAAGGAAATCTTCAATCCGATGATGAAAGACTGTTAGAAGAAGATTCTCTGACACCACAAGATTCAAAAAGGTAATTTCTCTTTCATATTTTGCATATAAGATGATCATAGAATTTAATCAAAGAAATTGTCTATAAATGTTTCTATAAACAAAAACTGCAGTCTAGATATTATTTAGGAATTTTTTTTTTTTCCCCCATTTTTCATTTTAGCATAATTACAAAATCAATGCAGGAAGACGTTTATTCTTTTTTTTTTTTTATTTTTTATAAGTATTATAAATAAATATAAATAACTTTTACATGTTTATTCTTATATTTTTTAATGTTTTGAATCAGAAGTTTAAAATATGTTTGTGATTATTGCCACTGTGCTGTTGTCTGTCTTATATGTATTTAATACATATGCATAGTATCAGGTAATAACAACAAAAAAAGGAGGCCTTTTTATAGGGGGCAGAGTTTGCTGCAGTAGCTGATTTTATTACAGATGAAATGTTTTATAATTGAAATCACGTTAAAATGTAACATACTCGAGAAATCTGCCATTGATAATGAAGATTTGAAAATGTTTGTTGAAAATTTTGCTTTAATGTGTCAAACTTTAAAAAATATTCTGTATAAATATTGAAATTATGCACTTGTATATGCTTCATCTTTGGAAAGCTTACAAATTTAGTAAGTGGGTCCCATGCAGTTTGTGAATAACTAAATTTTAAAGATCTAACTTTTTTATATATCATCATTAAAATGAACCTTTTTGGGGGAATGGGTGGGTTAAATCTTGAAATACTTTTAAATGAAAATTATATTATGCATTTCATTGTCATATTGCCTCATTTTGGATTATTTCTTTCCCCATGCCTTTGGCTCGGTTATTGGACAAAATGGAGTGATTGGGAAGATCAGTGAGGAATATCCTATAATTTAATGGCAAAATCCATTATTAGAGAAGAAGCCAGCCTATATTATTTAATTCTTTATGTAAATAAGCTTTCTTCAGTTTCCACAATTTTGCTGTGACCATCAGTTTTAAAGTTAGAACTAGGTAACAAAGAATTGGTACATACTTCTCTTATGTAATTATTCCAATCACCTTTTGTATTGCATTTCATTCAAAGCAAGCTTTGGTTCACAAAACTCTACGGACGTTAAATGCTGACACCAAAAATAAATGAATAGGCAGTAATGATAATAATAATAAATGCATGAAACAAAAACATTTTGTATTTGGACACTTTTTTTTTCATTTCCTGACAGGCAGGAATAGGACTACAGTTACTTTGGGTTTGAGTGACCTTTTAATTTCATGAGGTAATTATCCAAACACAATCTTTCTGTAAAAAATCCATTTTTCTTGAAAGAACAGGATAACTGCTTGTTCATCTCTTGACAAGTTCCAAGCTGTAAAATCCATTGCAGGTAAAAAAAAAAAGGGGGGGGTGGAGAAGCTAATTAGTTGAAAAATTTGGTTGTGCAAGCAATAGTTACAAAACCAGTTATCCAGTTAGAAGATTAAGAAACAACACAATCTGCAATATTAACTGAAATAGATAATTTTAGCCTACCTTATACCGTCCGTTATACATTAAACGCAGCGCGTTTACGCATGCGCAGAACGTTTGTATCTTTGAGGTCCAGATTAAAGACTTTGTACTGTATTTTTCGTGTTAATCGATACTTTATCTTAAGCATTTTTGCATTAAACATGTTTCACTGTATATATATTGCAGATAATATTATTTTAAAATTTATGTACATGCTATCTGATAAAGTTATTTATTATGGATTCTATCTTATTCCTAAAAAAATATGAAATAATTTTTTTTTGAAAATATGAAGTAAACTTTTAAAGTTTAATTATTTTAATTACGTATTTTTACTAATGCTTTCTTCTAGATCACGACATCATAACAAAGCTGTTCCTTGGCTGAAGAAAACAGAATATATATCAAATGAGTTTAATAGATATGGTCATAGTAGTGAAAAAACAGAAACCAAGTATGTGAAGAACAGTTTTCTTTTTCATAATGTATTAATATTTTAAAACAAAGCATTTAATGGATGATTTTAAATGCAAATAAATTTTATTGAGAGTACTTTAGCATCTAATAGTTTTTTCAGTAATTTCTCAATGAAGTATAAAATTAAAGAAACTAAGAATTTTAAAAATCAAAATAGGTTTTTTTTTTTTTTTTTTTTTTTTTTTTTTTTTTTTTTTTTTCCCTATGTTCTGCTTAATTTTACTAAATTTTATTTATATCTTTCATCTGTTGTTGTTTATGTTAGAATTTAATTAAAACATATACCTCACTTTGATATAAATCATTTGAAGCAAAGTTTTCACTAATAATAATAATTTTTTTTCCAGTTACAGTTTTTAATTTTTATATATCTTCATTAGTCTCAGGTTTCTTTCTTAGTATTTTGAAAAATATGTCAATAGAATATTCTTTTCATTATAATTACTTTGATAATTATTAAATAAAATGCATTTTCTACTGAATAACAACAAAATATGACTCAGGATTTAACAATCTCAAAAATATATCAACAGTATAAAATTCATGGTTTATATTGTTGATATATTTTTGAGATGGTTTAAAATTTAGTGGTGATTATTTAAAGTTTTAGAATTTATGTTAAAAGTGAAAGTTCTATTATAGTATTTTTTATGCATTGAGGGAAAATCTATAGAGCAACAGTATGATATAGGAAAATGATAAAAACAAATATTAAAGGAATTATAGTTTAGAAACATTTTATAAGAGATATATTTTAAACAAAGAAAAATTCATAAATTCATCAGTAAACTGTTTTGCAGATTTTAAAGTAAAAGATAATACATTCAATTATAGAATGCAGAAGTGCATATATCATCATACCTACAAATTATGTTTTGGTCCACTTTTCCACCAGATGTTTATTGTTTTACTCTTGTATTAACATTAACTGACATTTATTAAGTAAATGTGATATTTCCCTAAATATTCTTGCAGTGATACTAATTAAACTTGAAAACAGTTGAAAGTAAATTATCAAGAACAGGTATCTTTGTTCTTGGATCCTATTACAGTCACAAAGCTATTTACAATTTAAATTTGTATAGTAATGTAAAGTTGAACTTTTGTCATTTATTTATTTATTACTTAACATGTTCAAAGGATCAGGACAATATGCATCACTTTCTACCTTAAATACTAGTATTGTGAAATATAATTGAATGAAGTTTTTACAATATAGCCAGTATTTGGAATGCATATAAAGAAGTATTTTTTTATATTGCTATTATTTTAACAAAGCTTTAAATTTTTCTGATACTTTAATACTTTAATTATTAATTTTGGTATAAAATTAGATTTTGTTATTTACATAATCATGAATCAATTGATGCTTTTTTTTTTTTTTTTTTTTTTTTTTTTTTTTTTTTTTGTTTTTTGTTGTTGTTGTTGTATGGAACCACATAATGATACTAGTAAATATGGAAATTTTGAAATTTTCATATTTAACAATACTGATTAATTTATAGGGTTGGTTATAATGTCAAGAAACTTTTCAAGGAAGAAAATGTGTATATGGGCCGTGAAAGTCAAATTGCTGCCATTAACAAAACTTTCTCAGATGCTAAAATACCAGTAAGTTTTAGAAATCTAAATTCCTTTTCAATTTTATTTTAAAAAATTAATATTTATAAAATTTGCAATTGGATGGAAAAAAATAATTCATAGTTGAAGCTATTTAAAGTTGTTTGTTTTAAAGGAAATAATAATAAGACCCTAGTATTATATTGGATTTTTCAGATTGAGAAGCATTACAGCAAGCCTAATGTTTATGCTGTTGAAGAACTTCCTGTATTCCCAGATAACCAGGTAAAATTTATATTGTTTGCTTTTTGTATCTGAAACTAAATGCATTTTATCATAGAATAATGTAATATCATAGAATAAAGTAATATGTAATTAACATACCTTGTTTTTAGCTGTGGCGATATCCATTTGCTCAAGTTATGTTTGATACAGAGCCAGCTCCTAACTCACAAATGGAAGAAATGTCACAAGCTATGATCAGGTATAGTGAGAATTTTAATTTGAGTGCTAGTTTGAAAAAGAACATATCTGAGTCATGTGTTTGAAATTAAAAAAAGGGGGGAGCATGTATTCTATCCAGGGTTGCCACTGTAACAAGAGAATGAAATTCTCTGACTATTTTAGAGTTTTCAGGTGTGTTTAAAAAAATTCCAGTCTTGTGGCCTAGGCTATTAATGTTCAAAACTAAATTATGATTAGGAACAGCATGAATTATAAACAAATAGCTAAGTTTATTGCTTTTTATTTTCCAACTATCGAAATGTGACGCTACTAGAATAGCAATGTTTGGAAACCAAAACCAAGCAATCATGAATCAGAACTAGTTGCCATTCAGCATAAAGAAATTTAAATATAAATATGAACTACTTGTTGCCATTCAGGATAAAAGAAATATTAATATTAACAAAATATTAAAGTTAATTTTATAAAATAATTAAACACATGAAGAAATATATGAAATAAAAAATAATTATTTCTCATGCAATAACTGGGCTGCTACACTACTCCCCCACCAGTAACTAAGTTATGTTACGAAGATGGAGAAATAGGTAGTAACTAGCATTGCAGTGTTAACCACTATCAGAATAATTTACAGTCCTTGAATCTAACAGGTTAATGTATAGTTCTGCCTGTGCAAGAATGTTTTTGATTCACATCTGAATTTGAATCCGCAAGTTACTGTTACATGAATTTGAATCTGCAAGTTACTGTTCAACTGGGAATTTTCCTCAGCTAAAATGTATGCTTTTCAAGCGATCCAGGGGTACATTAACCTGTTTTCCCTTTATGCTAATAGTATAATATTTGTCCTTGTGATCAATAACGGGAAATGGTCCTTCATAAGGAGGTTCCAATATGTGTTTTTACCCGATCTATTCGCTGAAACACATGAGAACAATTTTTTAAGTCTTTATGTACAAATATCCGTTCAGATGAATTTTTACGAATTAGTCTAGGTCCAACAACTTCCATCTGTTTCTGGAGTTTATTAGCAAAAAAAAGTCTCCAATGCTGTCTGGATACTTGGTTCGCTGAAAACTCCAGGAAGTCTGAGACTCTGGCCATAAACTACTTGCCCAATAGAATGATTTGTATCTTCTTGAATAGCAGTACGCAAACCCAAAAGTACTGTTGGTAATGTGTCCGTCCAAGATATGTTGTGGGCTTTTAATGCTGTTTTAATGTTCGATGAAGGCGCTCAACTTTGCCATTACACGAGGGGTGGTAGGCAGTAGTGTGTTGTAAATTGATGCCACAGATTTTGGACAAAGCTCGTAATGTATCACTTTTAAATTGGGATCCACGATCACTAATGAATTTACTTGACGTTCCGAAACGCGCAATCCAGTTGCTATAAAAGGCTCTCAGCTGAAATATTCTCTAATCCGATTCGAAAATCTATCTATGCAAGTAAGACAATAAACATTCCCTTTATGTGGGGGAAAGTGGTCTTATCAGATCAATATGGATGATAGAAAATCTTCCTGGTGGTACTTCAAACTCACCTAATTTTGTTTTGGTTGGTATGCCGATTGATTTTAGCTTTTTGGCAAGGAATGCAGGTTCTTGTCCACAACTGTACATCTTTTTTTATGTTAGACCAAATGAATTTTGATGTCATTAATTTCACATTTAATTTTATTCCTGGGTGGGATAAACCGTAAATTCGCTGAAACACGTATTTTCTGAAAGCTTGAGGAATATATGGCCGAGTATGTTTAGTTGATGTATACCACAAATATTTCCCTGAAGGTAGAGAACATTGCTTTAAATTCAAGGAAGTAGTGGTTTGCGAACTCTTCAGTTCTTCATCTTGAGTCTGTTCATCAGCTATTTTATCATAATCTATCGATGATGAAATTTCATTAACTCTAGATAATGTATTGGCCACAATATTATTCTCACCTTTTACATATTTGATATCAGTCGAAAACTGGGAGATGTATTGAAATTGGCAAGCTTGTCTAGGTGCTGCTTTGTCAAGTTTTTGACGAAAGGCGAATATTAAGGGCTTGTGATCTGTTTAAATTGTAAATACTCTTCCTTCTAGATAATGCTTGAAGTGTCTAACTGGAAGATATATGCTTAATAGTTCTCTATCATAGGTGCTATATTTTTGCTGAGTATAATTTAATTTTTTTGAAAAAAATGCTGTTGGTTTCCACAAAGAGTTTTCATATTGTTGCAACACTGAGCCAGTCGCCATATCTTAAGCATCTGTAAATAACGCCAGAGGTAGTTCAGAATTGGAAAAAGACAACAGTGCAGTGTTCACTAGGTTATTCTTGCGCCTTTCAAACTGATTTTCAGCTTCTTCAGTCCATTCGATTTTACGTTTGTCCCTCTTTTTAGCTACCTTAAGATACGCATGTAACAATGCTTGATTCTTCGCTGCATCCTTTATATAACGACGATAAAAGTTAAGTATTCCAAGAAAGGTTCTAAGTTCATGAATTGTTTCTGGTCGTTTGTAGTTAGTAATAGCTTGAACTCTTTCTGGCAAAGGACGGGAACCCTTAGGTGTAATTAGGTAGCCTAGAAACTCGATTTGGGAACAGCAAAGACAGATTTTGAAACATTAATTCTTAACCCAAATGTATGTAATCTTTCGAAAACTAATTTAAGGTGATTTTCGTGTTCTTCTTCATGGGTACTGGATGCAATGAGTATATCGTCTAAATAGGGAAAAATGAATTCTAATCCTCTAAAGACTTCGTGAATAAATCGTTAGAACATTGCAGGAGCACTTTTTAAACCAAAACTCATTAAATTCGTATAAGCCAAAAGGAGTGATGACAGCCATTTTACATTTTGTCTTCTGCAATGGGAATTTAAAAATATGCTTAGAGTAAATCAATTTTAGAAAAAATATTTTGTACCTCATAAAACATGAAAACCTTCAATGCGAGGAATTGCGTATCGATCAGGTATTGTCTGCGCATTCAATCATAGGTAGTCCCCACAAGGACGACATTTTACCATCCTTTTTCGTAAGAAGGTGCAAGGTGCTTGACCACTGGGTGTTTGATGGACAAATTATTCCATTGCGAAGCATAAATTTAAATTCCTCTTTAGCTAAGCGTTTTGGATCGAGCTGTCATACCTTTGAATAAACGGGTTGACCAACAGTTGTAATAAAATGTGTAACACCATGTTTAAATTGTGTAGAAAAAGGTTAGGCTTAGAAATTTCGGGATATTTCGACAGTAAATCGAAAGTTTTTATGGATTTATTTAATGTGCTGTTACTGAGTATCACTTGAAAAATAGCAGCGACATCACACTGGGACACAAAGTTGTGTTACGCCATCAATTAATTTTTTCTTATTTATATCGATAAGCAATTTAGTTTTATTTGTGAAGAAAGTCAGCTCCTAAAATAATACCTTTTGTGACATCAGCAATTATGAATGGAAACTGAAAATCACGATGTAATCCCAAATCAAGAGTTAGCGTTTTTATGCCATAAGTGGAAATATCTGTGCCATTAGCTGCATACAGTTTGTATTCAGTTTTACATTTATTCTGTGAGAAGTAGCAGGAATTATGCTTCACGTCAGCTCCGCTATCAATAAGAAGAAAGTGCAAATTTGATCTTCGGTCACGAACGAATAAACGAAATTTGCGACAATCCTTCATATTTTCTGCAGCAGCGTTTGAACCTACTGCAGATTCGAGTTTTCCTGGTTTTTGGGAAATCGTTTTTTTACCCAAGCACACGGAGGCTTGCATTTCTCTGGAATGACATTTTGCTCCAAAACGAAAGTGATAGAAACAAAATTTGCCAGTAGGGTCATATCGTTTACGAGATCGGCTTCGAGATCGTGAACGTGAATTACGTAAATCCGAGTCCCTGCGTCTTGAGCGAATGGTTATTTGATCAATTTTTTGTTCAAGAGAGGTAATTCTTTGCAACAAATCGTTTACGGGAATGGAAGGAGCATTAGCACTAAATACTTCTGGTTTCCGATTCATATCACTAATTTTATCTGCCATAGACGCTAACTTGGTTACATCTTCATCACTAACTAATAATATATTTTTTATTCAGGTAGCTTCTCCAGTCATAATGTTTTGATTAGATTTTCAGACACATCTGTAGTAGCAACTGATCTCAACTTCTGCAAAAGTTGGCTTGGTTTCATGTCTCCAAGCTCGATACCAGTAATCAAACGTTTAATCCGTACGTTTTTCACTTTCTTTGAATAAATGTAATAACCTAATTTTAGCATCCCAATATTTTGTGGCACTATCGTTCGTTACAATGTCCCAAATATTTTCGATGAACTTAGGTTCAAGCTGTGAAACTAAATAATTAAATTTCGTTTCTTCTGAAACGATGTTATTAATTTTGAATGGAGCTTCAACTTGAAAAAAAAAAAAAAAACCATATTTCCGGTTTATCGGTCCAAAAAGGTATTTTTACACTCACCTTCTGAAGCTCCGGTGACTGCATCGTATCTTTCGCAACAGTTTCAGAAGAGTCATTTGTTGACATTTCGAAAATTAATCAGGGTCCACCACGATGTAGCCTGGCTACTAATGTTTCAAAAATAAATTTATGACTAGGAACAGCATGAATTATAAACAAATAGCTAAGTTATTGCATTTTATTTTCCAGCTATCGAAATGCGACGCTACGAATAGCAACGTTTGGAAACCAAAACCAAGCAAGAATAAATGAGATTTAGTTGCCATTCAGCATAAAAGAAATATAAAAATGAATATTAACAAAATATTAAAGTTAATTTTATAAAATAATTAAACACTTGAACAAATATATAAAATAAAAAATAATTGTTTCTCATGCAATAACTGGGCCACTACAGTCTAACCATGTAATGTACATTGGGTGTGATGAGCGTAAATTAATTGTGGTACCACTTGAAAACACAATAATTTGCTACTTACATATATCTGATTAAAAAAGATATATTTTTGAATCTCGAAAGCTTACTGTTGTAACTATAGTAGGAGCTGT